GCATAACAAGGGGATTCACTGAGAACTCAATTTGTACATAGTGGCTTTCTGTTCTGTTTGTTTGCATGCTTGTTATGCAATTAACCTTCTGCCTAGGTTTCCCGTTCCAGCAAATGATGTTCTTACTCCAATCTAGGAAACAACAGGAGAAGTTCCTAAATATATTCTCTGGGACTAGAGGGAGCACTAATATACTCTATATTTTTAACCTATTAGTTCTTCCAATGTAAAGTTTACTGTGGTAGTGAGGAGGAGGAGGAGGAGGAAGGGAGGGGAAGGATGACCAGCATTTATTGAGCTCTCTTGGCACCAAGGATTGTTCAAAGCTTTGTGTAGATTAATTTACTACTTTATGTAGATTAATTTATTTAACCCTCACAACTTTTGAAGTGGGGTGTTATGATTATTTCCCCTTTACACAGAGGCATAAAGCCATTTTTCAGATAACACAGTTTTAAATGGTGCATCAGGATTTAAACCCACTACCAGTTCTATTAATTCAAAGATACTAGTCCCATGCAGAACTCAGCCTTCTTGTGTCTACAAACTTCCTGTGACTATTCTCAGTAGCAAGTCACTAACGCTCATACACTTTGACAGTAAATTACCTTACTTTTTGATGATTTGCACAAATTGTTAATAGGCAATTACTGATAACCTCTGGCCAGTCACCTAACCAAGAGCATCTCAGCCAGCCCATTCTCTCCTTAGTTGTCTAGGACTCCGACAGGATTGCTACTCTATCCACAATCTACAGCTATCTGTATTTCCTTCTTTATGTGGTGCTGGTGACCTTCAACCTGTCCAGTTCCCTGTAACTCATCATTGCCTTCCAGAGAACCCCTTGTACACTTGCTGAGTGACACATAAGCCCTGTGGGATGAGGTTCATGTTTTTCTCTTCAGCTTCGTCTTACAGCATGCCTTTGCAACAGTGAGTGTCCCCATCATCCATGACATTGTAGATATCTGCCATTCCCTCAGAGCTGGGTCTCTCATGTGTTTGGCATCTTCTTCACCCACCACACTATATTCCAACTCAACACAGAGTCCATCAAAATGTGCTTCCTGGGGGCCCACTGTATGTCAGGGCCAATGGCAAGCACAGAAAATAGACCTGGGTCCTGGGAGTTTTCACCCTTACCATCCCTGACTTCCAAATTAGAAACATGATTAATTTGGGCCAACCTCGAAATAAGAAGGAAGGGATGTTTTATAAAGAACTCAGACTAAACCACCTTTATACTCTCTTACAACCCCACCCCCATCCTCTTGATTTCTCTCTAAGGCAAGCATTTATTAGTTTGATTTCAACACACACACTTGTACCTGTAATTACTATATAATGTCTGTTTACTTTTTTAAACGAAAATGAATTTAAATTAATCTTGTTTTGTGAATTTCAAGGCACCCCCTGAGATAAATGAAGACACTCCAGGGTGTCATCAAACCAGTGCTTGGAATCCTAGCTCTAGAAAGTGGAGAAGCAAGCTCATTAAACCTTCAAGGAGCCAGAGGGAGAAATGTATGCAGATACGCGAGCAGCGCGAACAGGAAAGAAGGAGTTTTATATGTGCATCATATACAGAGAGCAGGGGAAAAGGTGGCTACCAAACTGTGGTTCTTTAGGAAAGTCTCTTAGAAATGTAGCCATCAACGTCATTTATTCCTAAGGCCTCTCTATCATAGAGTTGACACTAAGGACATTTCCAAAGTCCCCTTCCTTCCCTGGTCTGAATGTCAATGAGAGATAGATGCTCACGTGAGATGTAAAAGAAAAGAAAGGTGAATATTATTTTCCAGTGGTCAGCAACTAGAAAGAAGACAGGTTCACAGCATCCAAGTCAATTTCTTAAGACTCCTTACATCAGTACTGCAGACGGAGATAACTGGTGGGAATTTCCCAGAGGTCTTTGAAATTTACAACGGAATTGTTGGCCAGCAATGATTTTGAGAGCATCTCGCTTGGGTCTCCCAGGCCAAGCTCATCTGTGACCTTTGCTGAGCAGCCCATCCAACAGGTATATAAACCTCAAACTCCTTACACTGCCTCCCTCCATACCTGGGCAGCACAGAGTGGCTTCTCTTTGCCTGCTCTCTCTCTCTCTCTCTCTCTCTCTCTCTCTCTCTCTCTCTCTCTCTCTCCCTTTTTTCAAAGTATGTTCTTTAATTCTTTTACAATACTTGTTTGTATAGTGTGTTATCAAAAGTCTTAAACATTTTAAATGTACAATAAACATTCCTTGTAGTGCTGGATTGAACCCAGAACCTTGCATGTGCTAGGCAAGCTCTACACTAAGTCACACCCACGGATCTATAGGGACACTATAGAAGCACAAAAGAGGCACGGAAGCCCTGTGTGGTAAGAAGCCTTCCTAGGACATTTGGTTTGCTTCCAGACTAAACACTGGTAGAGGTGCAATTTTGCAACAAGCTAAGGGACAAGAGAGCAGGTGAAGGACACAGCTGGGCAAGGCAGGAAAGAGCACATTGCTTCTCTGAGGCCGCATGCATCGAGGGTGATGGGGACATACCTTGTTACAATGGCATGCTGTAAGATGAAGCTGAAGAGAAAAATAAAAACTTCATCCCACAGGGCTGGTGTGTCACTCAACAAGTGTACAAGGGGCTCTCTGGAAGGCAAGTACAGAGTACTGGATGGGCTAAGACCTGTGTTCTATGGGGTCATCAGGGCTACCAGTGTAGAGGGGGTCAGTCCAGAGGCCCATAGACATGATGAGTTAAAGAGGTTCTGGAAAGATGGAATCTGAGTGAGAAGATCTGCCCCGAAACAGGAAAGAGGGTGTGGCATGTTAAGTTGCCCACGGCTCCCTCTCTTTCCTTCATATTGTGGGGAAGTGGGAAGCTCATAAATTGGATTGCAACTAGAGTAGTTTCTGCCGTGCCTGGGATGTAGTTAAAAAGTGAAGAGGGCAGGGAGTGATGTTTCAAGAATTCCCCCAGAAAGGAAATCTAGGAACCAAGCCCTTCCTTGGAACAAAAACAGGAAAAGCACATGTACATTTAAGCATATTTTTCTTGGATTTCTTTCTCACTTGTACCTACAGCCAATAGATTGTTCTAAGTCAGGCTGTGAGGTGTTTCTAATTGGCCCTGGGCTTCCATCCAGGCCAGTTAGACTCCTCTAAGACCCCTCTCCCTCCCTCCCTCTTCCTCTCCCACTCCTTTGCTGCTGCTGCGACTCACCTCCTCTGCCCAAAGACCTGTCTGTGCTCTCAGGTTTCTCAAGCTCTAGAGAGATGTCCCCTCATGACCACTGCACTACTGCTTGTGTGCCCAGGTCCTGTTTTCTGGGCTACCACTGATTATCAAGCAGAAAGGGAAACAGCTAAAGGGTAAAGCGCTGAAAAACACGATTCAAGGGCAGAGGTGGGAAGCTCAAGGGACGCCCACCCATGGGTCCCGAGCGTCTGAATTTCTCACAAATACCATGTAACATCAGTTGTGGGTCAGAGCTGGAGAAGCACTAATGGGAAGGAGAAGCACTAATGGGAAGGAGAAGCACTAACAGAAGGAGCCTACTGAGGAGCAGAGCTTTGGGCAGCACCAGGAGAATCGGGCGTTGCCTATGTGAGCTCCATACATCAACTGTATTTGTTGTATTTTTTCAATGGAAAATGAACCAGTGTGGTCAACAGCTTTGGAAATTAGAAGGCTTAAAATAAAGTGAAGAGACAAGGAACAATATAGCCATTGAGGATCTACTCACGCTACCGTAGTCAACATATTAAAGATCAGAAAATAAGTAAGAGTGTCTGGAAGTTTTCTATGGCTGCAGAACAAAGTGCCACAAACGTGGTGGCTAAAGAATTCTTTATTATGTCACAGTTCTGTAGATTTGAAGTCCAGTTACAAGCTAGCTGTATCCTTCACTTGGGATCTCAACAGGCTGACATCAAAGTAGCCACTGGGCTGTTATCCATCTGAGTCCCAAGCCCCGTGAAGGTAGAAATAGGAGAACCCACCAAGATGGCTTTTGTAGCAGAAGTGACTGTTGCCTGAATGGTCCCCCTTGGTTCCACCCTCACCTGCCTTTGTTGAGCAGTTTTACAGACAGTAAAGCCTGCCCCTTCCATCTACTTCCCTAGCTCCAACCCCTACAATAACATCTGACATAAGGCAGTATCCTCCCAACACCCCAACTTACAAACATCTTAAATGCAAAAGCACAAGAAATCAACTAGCAAAATGTGAGGTTTCAGCTAGGGAACGTTCTTCGCCCGTACACAAATCACACATTTTTCAACAAGACAAAAAGAGAGAGAGAAAAAAAACAAGGAAAAGCTATCAGTGCCATCTGGTGGAAAGACCTATATTAAAATGTCCAAGGTGATCTGGCCACACCCGACCATTTCAGACCTTTACATTCTCCTCCGACACACAGCCAGTAGATTCTAGGGCAGTGTCAGCATTAGTTTATAGGGAATGTGTCTGGTTAGAAGCAAGTGTATTGTGACTGTTCACATCCTGTACATGGCCAGTGGAAAAGTAATTTATATGTCATCCTTAGCTGTCTAAATACTGTGTAAACCTTTACCTCCTATACCACACACACACACACACACACACACACACACACACACATCTTTACCCAAACAACTCTAGTTAGTTACCCAGATGTGGAAGTTTTGCATGAACCTCTCACAAAACCCACTCATAACACAATTGTTCTTAGTGTTATCTTTCTCTTCTGTTCTTATTTTCATTCTTGTATTTATTGGAAATTCATTTTCTTCTTTCCTTCAAACAATATTTTCATCTATAGTAGTTATCTGTTGCTACATAACAAATTCCCCCATTTCTTGATTAGTTAAACAATAAGTATGAGTTAACTCAGTTTCTCTATAAGGAATTCAGGATAGGCTTGGCTAGATGGTTCTGAGCCAGGTAGTCCACGAGATTACAATCAAGATGTTGTACAAGCCACCTAAGGTCCTGACTGGGGCTGAGGAGGGTCCACTTCTTGGACAGTTTACTCACCGGCTTGAGGACCAGTCAGAGGCTTCTGGTCCTCCTCACAGAGATCTCCCCACATCCTTACAACGTGGCGGCTCACCTCTCCGCAAGATTTCCCATGACAAATCTCCTTCCCCAGGAAGAATAAGGAAAAAAGACAAGGTTTTTTTTTGTGTGTGTGGGCAAAACCTAGGAAGTTATATACTACCATTTCAACAATAGCCTCCAGGCTACAAAAACCAGCCCTAGCACTGTAGAAAAGAACTACCCAAGACATGAAATTCCTGTTGGGGACATTGTGGAGGTTGTCTTCCACACAGCCTCTTCTTCATGGGTCCGATTCCAGATCTTTGGGTCCTGGTATGAAGTTTGTTAACACAAAGGAAACTCCAAACATTTCAGACACAGACTGTTTGTAGTTCAAGTGATCCTCTGCTCTGATTGGACACGGGGACCTGGCTGGAGGAAACAAGTGTCTGAGCCTACCTTCACCCTCTGCCAGTCAGGAAACTAGAGCATTGTGGGGGTTTCAACGAGAATGGTTCCACAGGCTCCTATATTTGAACACTTGGTCCCCAGTTGGTGGAACTGTTTGGGAAGGATTTAGGATGTGCAGCTTTATTGGAGGAGGTGTGTCACTGAGGGAAGGCTTTGAGGTTTCAAAAGCCCACGCCATTCCCAGTCTCTCCCAGTTTCTCCCTCCCCCCTCTCCTTCTCTCTCTCTCTCTCTCTCTCTCTCTCTCTCTCTCTCTCTCTCTCTCTCTCTCTCTCCACCTCATGCTTGTGGATTGAGATGTGAGCTCTACTACCCCAGCTACTACCCCAGTGCTATGCCTGCATGTCCCCCTGCCTGTTGCCACGCTTCCCACCATAATAGTCATGAACTCTGTCCCTCTGGAACCACTGTAAGCCCCAAATTAAACATTTTATTTCATGTTATCTTTGTCATGATGTTTTAGCATAGCAATAGAAAAGTAGCTAAGACAGACAGACAGACAGACAGACACACACACACACACACACACACACGAATTAAGTCAAAACATCATCATCGACTAGAGGAGGGGTAGTTAGGATATGCTATAAAGCATTCCATTGAGCTTATGAAAGGACAGAGAACAAAATGGAAAAGGAACAGCCTGTCTTTAGAAAGTTCTAGTGGTTCCAATCCAGGCTTCTCCCTGCCCCTCCCCTGACTTCTTTCATGCTTGTTATTTTCATTGCACAATTAGCTTTTGACTATATATTATCTGATTGTCAGATAATGACAATTGCTTTGATGAGCAGTTTAGTACTTTATTACATATTCTGGGAATAATTATATCTGTGTCTAAATCCCCCCAAGTATGTCATAAATTCCTTGAAGTAGGAGAAATTACTAAAGCTTATTGCTCCCCAAAAACATGTCCCTCAGCACACACATACCCACATACTACCAATACACCAGCATATAATAGGGACCACGCCCATAAAGACCAAGAAACATGGCCCTTGTACAAAAATAGGAATTAAACAGAGAATCGCTTTCTTAAAGGGACAGACAGGAAAAGGGGGGTCTGCAAGACGGAGACCCATCTTACAAAAGAGAAAGATGCGAGGGTGACAGAGGGTGGACATGATCTCAGTGCTCTGTATGAAATTGTCAAAAAGAGACGTTCTAAAAAAAAAAATTAAGCCTCTCAGGAAAATAAAAGCATAAGCTCAACAAATCACCAAATTAATATGGAAAAATGCTCGTATCTACTTTAATTGGTGGTCTGTGAGTATATACACGCGTAAAAGCTCACTGAAGTGCGTATACATGGCATGCTTTAGTGTGTGAATTATATTGCAATAAAAAAATGAAGTTTTAAAAGAAGTTGCACATAATATCCAACACAGTCCTCACAAAATTAGAGAATCTACAACACTCTGGAGACTCGGTCGGTGTCTTGGTGTAGGTCTTGCCGATGAATTCTGCTTATTTTTTCCATCCATTTACTTAACATTTTGAACACCATGTTCAGGCGCCAATTAAAATGAAAAGATTCAACAAATCGGTCTTGGTTCCAATGAAAACAGGAAACCCAGGTTCAACAAACTCCCCCACAGTGGGAGATGAAGGGTACACAGAGCCTAAACCCTCCTGAGGCCCAGATAACCCTAAACAGAGTGAAGGATTCTGTAAAGGGCTGACATGGTTAGTCAGTGTCAGGAGGCCTATCCAGAACCTCAGGGGAGGCTTTTCTTACAGAAACACTCAGCCAAAACAGAAAATGAAATGAGACCCCTGGCTGGGACACAGCTGAGACAGGGACCTTAGCCCTTCCCTCCCTGGAAGGAGAAACAGATGAGCAGACAAGAGAGAGGAAGTCCTTAGTGTCTTTCCATAGGGAAACCTGGGTAGGAATGGCGAATATGCTTTTAGCCTCACAGAGACCCACAAGAGAGAGCACACAGCTAGCCGTTCAGGGGCTCCAGAGATGGAGAATCTGTCTCCCCAAAAACCTCTTTTCCCGCTGGAGAAGACAGACTTGGAGCTCGATAGTAAGCAGATAAAGGATGGGCACAGAGGGGCAAGGAGACCTGTGGGAAGTTCTTCCCTGACAAGAGGAGGGAACAGAGGGAGAGAGAAGGCAAAGGACCCGAGAAGCGAGGAGCTCACCACGACAGTGACTGGAAATGCTACTTCCAGAGGCAGCACAGCCCCGTACCCTGAAGAACCTCAGCTGAGAGAAGCTGAGTGGGGTGGCCCGTGGCTCACAGGCCACACAACTCAGGAGTAAAAGTGGGAAGCTACAAAGACAGGGAACTCTGGGAGCAGTGGTGCCACGAGGCAGGAAGTCTTTCATCAGGACTTCAGTGGAAGGGGAGATCCGGCGGCTCCTGAACCATGGGAGAGCAGGTGGCTGCATAGGCTGTCCACCTCGGGGAGGGAGAAATCCTTACACTTTGCTGAAGCCATGGGATAACTCTGTGTGTTAGGGGTAGGGGAACAGAGGTGTCATAGGCAGGAATAAAGATGTATGTCCCTCCCTCAGGCTGTCCAATTGCTAAAACAATGGACTCCAAGATACTGGAATTTCCCCAGGAGTCTCAAGCTGGGGAAGGGAAAGGCTGGGAGCCTGATGTCTGCTAGATGGGGAACTTGTCTCCCAGAAAGATTTCACAAGTTCTGAAAACCTGTCTCCTTGTATGAGAGACTGAAGCAGAGGCTATGATGATGGGCAGGACCACACCTTGACCAGGAATGCTCAGTTATGCATAACTCGAACTCTGTACTTAAACCTAAACCTCATGCCAGGACCCCAAAGGTAGACTTGGGGGGAAGGTAGGGACCAGACCTCTTTTTTCCTCTTACTAATGTAGCGCACTGAATAAGTCTCCCCGCTGCTTTCCCTGTCACTGTTTATGTAATTGGCCCATTGAGGACAAGTAGCCAAGCCTGACTTGTTAGGGCTGCCCAGGCCCAGATGCTCACCCTAATGACTCTAGTAACGAAGCAGGAAGTCCATCTTCATGGCCAGGTGCTGTGGCCTTAGCTCCACGTGTCCTTGGCCAAGTTAACCAACCTCTCTAGGCCTCTGGTTACTGGTGTACCAAAAGGATACAAAAATACCGTCCACATTTGGTTATTTGAGAAAGGATACAACACAAGACAGGGGCTGGAACAGGGTTAACATTTCCCACAACTACTGGTAGTCAGATTCAAAGGACAATACCCACTGCTCTGAGCCTGGGTGAGATACTACTGTTCAAGATAGAGGTCTACTCACGCACCCCAAGAATAACATTGATAAACTCTTGTCTGACCCAGGCTAGAGAGACTAGCGGAGCGGGACCTTGAATAAGTAGCTGTCTGAACTGTGAATAAGATTAAGAAAACACCCAGGGCTTTAAGCAAGGCGGTGTTTGGAAAGGTGTGAGGGCGGTTGTCTGACGAGAACGGCAGTTCCCGTGTGACTGTAGGAAAGTGTTGCGCTAGTGAAGAGTCTAGAGAACCTTCCCCTCCTGGAGGCCTCAGCTTTCTCACAGCTAAAATGGGGTTGCTTCGATCTATCTTGTGACCATTCATTAACATATTAAAAGTGCTTGCACAGGTACAAATCACAAAGCAAGTGCTCAATTATTGTTAGCTCTTCGGTGGTTGACTGTAATTACTATATTACCCTGAGTGCCATTTCAAGGTGCCACAGGTCGTCCCCCACCCCCCACCCCGCCACGCCCTTTTTGTTAACAGTCCCAGCAATAGAAAAATGAAAACAATTGCCTGGGACATAGTCATTCCCTCCTACTAGAAGAACTCAAGAAGACACCAGCAATGACTGCTTGGTCATTAGAGAGATTACCCACCCACACCTGCGAGCCCAGGCGGGACTGGTTTTTTTTTTTTTTCACCTATTTAAACCCTTGCGCATAAACGGTGAAGGGAAGAATAGGCAGGCCCTTAAGAGAGGCAGGGGCAGCTGGCCCGCGGTGCAGTAACTACAACACACCACCAGGGAGCAGCAGAGCCCAGCCCTAGGCTGTTTTATCCGCAGGAGCAATTAATTTGTCCCAGGTTTCCTTAGTGTATTCGCTCCCAGCTGCAACAATCGCGCTTGTTGTTGATTATCCAACCTATCAACGAGGGTCCTGCTCAGGATCGGCGGGACCGCAGAGCTTCTCGGCTCGGCTAGGAGCCGTCTTAGCCCCGCCCCTGCTGTTCCAGCCAACCCTGGCTGGAGAGGAGCGTCACAGGGGCGGGACCGAAAGACCACGTGGCCGGCTAGGGCAAGTACTGAGCAGGGACAGAAGCTAGCCCCAGGGGGTGACAGGTTGCCCGGCGGGATAGGAAAGGCCAGCCTCACCCTGAGTGCCCTCCCTCCGCGATGGGCGTGCAGCCTCCCAACTTCTCCTGGGTGCTCCCGGGCCGGCTGGCCGGGTTGGCGCTGCCGCGGCTCCCCGCGCACTACCAGTTCCTGCTGGACCTGGGCGTGCGACACCTGGTGTCCCTGACGGAGCGCGGACCCCCTCACAGCGACAGCTGTCCGGGCCTCACGCTGCACCGACTGCGCATCCCTGACTTTTGCCCGCCGGCCCCGGAACAGATCGACCAATTTGTGAAGATCGTGGACGACGCCAACGCCCGGGGAGAGGTCAGCGAGTGGGAGCCAAAGCGAGAGGGCGGGGCCTGGGAGGAAATGAGTGGGCGGGGCCGGGCGGGAGGGTGGAGTCGGAAAGGAGCGGGAGAGGCCGTGGGGAGGGGCGGTGCGGGGAGGGGCGGGGCCGGGTGGGACCGGGCGGGGCTGGAGCTAGATGAACCCACTCAGGGACCCGGAGTCAACTGTGCTGCCAGAAGAGAGGGAAGGTGGTACCAAGAAGGCTGGAGAGAGTACTGTCACGCAAAATACTTCCAGGAGTCCGGGCAGCGCCAAAGCCGGATGGAAGTGGTTCAAAACCCATTTTCCAGAGGTCCATATGTCATGGAGACAGACTTGTAATTTTAAATTTTACTAGCAGCTACGTTTTTTAAAAAGATAAAAAGAAGCAGGTAGAGTTGATTTTGCTACTAATCCGGCAAGTCAAAAATATTATTTCAACATAGAATCAATAGGAAATAAATTATTAATGAGGCATTTCCAGTCTTTTTCGGGCCACATCTTCAGAGCCTGGTAAATTTTTTATGCCCAATCTCAGTTTGGATTGACACATTTCAGGTAAAATACCACCACGGGCGGCGGGGTGTTCTGTACTGGATGGATAGCAAAGGTAGAGAGGGCAGGCTGAGAGCCCAGCTTGGGAACGGGCCACTTTAGAGGCCTCCTAGTCACCAGAAGCAAGGACAGTCCTCAACAGCACTGATGTCGCTTTGCCCTCTGGGGTCCTGTGATCTGTGGGAAGACAGCGCCTTTCCGTGGGGACAGGAGGCTGTCGGAGAGGGCATTGGACTCCACTTCATCAGTTTCCTCTTCACAGGCTGTTGGAGTGCACTGTGCCCTGGGCTTTGGCCGCACCGGCACCATGCTGGCCTGCTACCTGGTGAAGGAGCAGGGCTTGGCAGCAGGAGATGCCATTGCTGAGATTCGGCGCCTACGGCCAGGATCCATTGAGACCTATGAACAAGAGAAAGCTGTCTTCCAGTTCTACCAGAGAACGAAATAAGGGACCTGACAGCTCCCCAACTCCCCTGCTGCATGTGGAAAATGTGGCCAGGGAGGACGGGAAGTACTACATCCCTCAGCCCCCTTTGGCTCCTATCGGACAGAAGTAATCTTTCCCCAAAGCCACAACCTGATTGACAGAAGGGCGGAGACCCCATGAATATGAGTTAATAACTAATAAGAACTCATTTGCACTGCATAGCATTTACACAGCACTCCCAATACATCAACTCCACATAGCCCTGGGTCATAGAAAAGATACAAAATGATGTCTGTTCTTTGGATGAGGTGGCTAGAGCTCAGAAAGGCCTGTGGTCACAATTCTGGAAAATAGAAGGATGGGCCAGGACTATAACATACTCTTTTGTCTCCTTGAAGATGCTGAAATTCTAGGCACCGTTCCCTGATCATATGTGATGCCGTTTCTGGAGGCCTGGTCAATGGAAGAGATCCATGTCTCTGGCCACCCAGCTTCCAAGCAGCCTCAGGGCTCTACACTCCCACGTGAGGAGTGCCCTTTTGATTGTCACTCCGTATGTGGGTTCATCTGCTCCGCTTGAGTCACCTTTGTCCCTCTCAGGGTCAGAAGACTTGGATGACCCAGATATACCCCCCCACCCCCCCCGCTTTCTCTCCCTTTCTCCCCCTCCCCCCCTCCACCACCCTCTCTCCCTCCGACTCTTTCCCCTTCTCTTCTTCCCTCCCCTCTCCACCACCCTCTCTCCCTCTCCCCCTCTGTTCCTCTCTCCCTCCAGCCCTAGCCACTTCTTACCAGCCTCAGATGCACTCAGCTCATCTGTTACCTCCAGCCCCTGTGGCATCCCCAGCCTCAGGCCAAGGAATGCGGGAACTGAGTCTTGGTGCTTATACAGAGTGAATATTAAGTAATCAAATAAATAACTATGAGGCTGTGACTCTTGGCCATGTTTCTCGGGTGTTGCCATCTTCACCTTCCCCCTGTTGGACTCCATCCTGCCATTAACACCAACCACACTTAGGACTTTCTGAGAGAGGAGATGACCGTCATACATGAGCCCGATGGACTCTTTTAAAATGTCAGTCTGAATTTTGCCTTGTCTTCTGCCATAATAGGCTGAGCTGAACTAAGGGAGAATTCATCCTGAGACGTACATGGAGTGCCTGTGTGAACTGGGTGCTGTTAGAGGTAGAAGTGACTCAGCAAAATAAGGCATGATTCCTGTTCTCAGGAGCCCAGGGAGATGGGTAATGACAGTCCATTCACACATGATGGATACTAAAAGCCATCTCTACTATTCCAGGCACAGGACGGAATAGCCAAGAAGTCCCCTAGAGCCTCCATCTCTTGTGTTGAAGACCAGAGCTGCAGCGTCTGTACCATCTCTTCCCAGTACTTCTTTCCTCATCCTCTGCTGCCCCTAAGTAAACATTATCTGGCTCCCTCTTACACAAAAGACTTAGTTAAGCAAGAAATGTAAGATGCCTTCACCCAGAATCCTTTCTGTGTCTAATGTGAGGGATCCATTCCTTAACTATTTTCCTTGGATCCTATCTAGCCCTCCCAGGGGACTATATCAGCCAAAGAGAAGAAACTCAAAAATTCCAGGCATTCGGGCTGTGACAGACAAAAGAGGAAGTTTACACTGCATGAAACCCTGGCTTTCCTCTGACTGAAAGCTCCATCCACCCTGCCACTCCCACGCCTGCCCATGATGCAGGCCAGACCATCTCCCAAGGAAGGGTGCATGTCTGTGGAATGTTTTCCTGAGGAGGGCATGGCCCAGGAAGAGAGTGCGAGGTGCATTCCCTCAGGTCACTGTCAGAGCTCACCCATATGGAGAGGAAGTGGCAGGCTGAAGCTGTGCCCCGGGGTGGTGTCTCCTCGCCAGCACTGATCAGCTGGGCTGTGTGGCCCGTCCCCACCCTTTCTGTGGTCTGTTCCTCCCCATATCCTCAGCACTGCCAGAGCAGAATCTGCTCTTACCTTCCTCCCAAGGCTCCTCGGAAGGAGACAGAAAATTTTTCTAACCCCATTAAGGCCCCGTGTGCAGTTCCCTCCCCATAATTTAAGCAAGTCTCCTCTGCCTCAAGAGTTCCTTAGGGAAATAAACATATAATTATGTGCTTAAGGAAATCACTTTTAAATAAGTAAGGGTTGCCTTCAAATGAAAAACTCTGCCCTTCTCCTTCTATCTACCTTGAGAGGTTAGCCTGCAACTCCATTCCTGCTCACTCATGGCCCCAGAATCTTTACCTTCCCACCACCCTTTCTCCGGTATTTGTCATCAATGAAAGGGCACACATTAGCCGTGGCCCATCCCCAGTACATCCTACACTGGTGCCAGGAACACACCTCCTCCATCTGAGAAGCAGATGTACGTTTGCACCAGACCAGGGTTTCCCATGCTTAGCATTCCTGACATTTTTTCACTGGGGCTGGATAACTGGGGGGGGGGGGGGGGGGGGGGGGGACCTCTATCCCACAGGATGATTAGCAATGTTCCTGGTTTGCACTCAACTAGATGACGGGCACACACCCCTCTAGTTATGACAACCAAAGATGCCTCTAGACATTGCCACATATTCCCTGTGGGAACAAAATCTGCCCCAGCGAGAGCCACTATAACAACCAACATGCAGGTTTCATTCTCTCTGGAAGTAGAGGAACAGATTTGGGGTGTTAGGAATATGTGCATGTCATACTAGGGGGACAAAGACCAACTCATATACTGCCACCTTTCCCACCAAAGTCTGGAAGTCAAGTTATTCCCAGGTTCTCAGCTCCCCACAGGCTTGTTTTCCAGCAAGGTCATAAGCACCACTGACTCTCTACATTCAGAAGGATTATATTCCCAGTGCTGATGCACATGGCTGAAACAGCTCCCACCTTGGTTTCTGTTGCTGGGATAAACATGACTGTCTTAGGGTTTCTAGTGCCACAAAGACACCATGACCAAAGCAACTCTTATAAAGGAAAACATTTAATTGGGGCTGGCTTACGGTTCAGAAGTTTAGTCCATTGTTGTCACGGTGGGAAGCATGGCAGCATGCAGGCAGACATGGTGCTGGAGAGGTACCTGAGCGTTCTACATCTGGATCTGAAGGCAGCAGGAAGAGAGAGCAGACACTAGGCCTGGCTTGAGCTTCTGAATCCTCAGAGCTCACCCTCAGTAGCACACCTACTCCAACAAGGCCATACCTTCTAATTCTGCCGCTCCCTATGGGTGGGCCTATGGGAGCTATTTTCATTCAAAACATCACAATAACCAAACACAACTTGGGGAGAAAAGTATTTGCTTCATCCTATACTTCCAAGTGACAGTCCATCATTGTCTTAATCAGGGTTTCTATTGCTGCAATGAAACACCATGACCAAAAAGCAAGTTAGGGACTTCATTATTGAAGAAAGTCAGGACAGGAATTCAAACAGGGCAGGATCCTGGAGACAGGAGCTGATGCAGAGGAGTACAGCTTACTGGCTTGCTTCCCCAGGCTTGCTCAGCCTGCTTTCTTATAGAACCCAGGACCACCAGCCCAGAGATGGTACCACCCACCATGAGCTGGGCCCTCCCCCATTGATTACTAAATGAGAAAATGCCTTACAGCTAGATTTCATGGAGGCATTTCCTCAACTGAAGCTCCTTCCTCTCTGATGACTCGCTTATGTCAAATTGACACACAAATCAGCCAGTACAATCAAGGAGGGAAGCCAAGACAGGAACTAGAGGCAGGAACTGAAGCAGAGACCATGAAGGACCACTGCTTATGGACTTGCCCTCTATGGCTTTCTCAGCCTGCTTGCTTGCTTGCTTTCTCTTTTAAACTTTTTATTGATTCTTTGTGGATTTTACATCGTGTATCCTGACCCCATTTATCTCCCCATCCCTTCCTATCTGCCCTCTGCCCTTGCAACCTCCCCCAAAAAATAAAATAAATTTTTAAAGAAAAATGAAAAGCCAAAGCAAAAAGCAGAAGAAGGAGGAGGAGGAGGAGAAGTAGTAGCAGTCGTCTCGATGTGGAAGCTGTAGTGTGACACAGTGAGTCTTTAGTCCACACGTCTTCACTTGCAAGTGTTCATTGCAATGAGTCATTGGTCTGGTTCGAGGCCTCTGGCTTCTGCTACACTATCAATACTGGACCCTCCCTGGGACTCCTCCTGGATATCCTGTTGTTGTCCTGTGTCATGGAGATCCAGCAGCTTTGGATCTGCAGGTCCAGCTCCTTCACACATTCCAGCAGTTCACAGATAAGCTGGATGTTGGGGTGAGCTAACTCATAGCCCTGGTTCTGGGTCTGAGTGGTAGCTCCATTGGTCAGCCCACCACCTTTCCCTCATCGCCACCACCAGGGTGAGCTCTCCAGCACTGCCCTGGCTAGCTCACCCAATGCAGCAGGCAGCGAGGAGCAGGGCCAGGTCTCCAGCTCTCTCGCCCTCAGGGCCAGCTCACATGCACCCACACCACCGGGGCCAGCTCTACTGTTTTGCAAGGCCCACTCTCCCAAGTACTACAGTTGGTGAGGGGTAGAGTGAGCTCTTCCGCTCTCATGCACACTCCTCGGGCCAGCTCTCCTGCCTGCTACAGGTGGCAAAGGGAGGGGTGGGGGAGGGCATCTTTCCCTCATCCATGCCACCACATGGCAGAAGACGGGGAAAAGAGTCTCCTGCTCCCATGCCCTCAGGGCTGCTCACCTGAGTCCCCACCAATAGGGTCAGATCTAATGTGCTGCCCTGGCACGGGGCAAGGCCCACTCTCCTGAGTGCTGCAGCCAGTGAGGAGCAAGGGCAGCTCTCCCAGTCTCATGACCCCAGGGCCAGCTCTCCTGCCTGCTGCAGGTGGCAAGGGACGAGGAGGTGTCAGCCTGCTTTCTTAGACAACCCAGGACCACCTGCCCAGGATGATGCTGGCCACGTTGGGCTGGGCTCGCCCACATCAATCGGCAATCAAGAAAATGCCCCCACAGACATGCCCGCGGGCCAATCCAATAGAGGCAGTTCTTCAATTGAGGTTCACGCTTCCCAAGTTGACAAAAAGAAACCAGCATAGCTGCGGTGCTTGTAAAGTTCACTCATGTTTATTCCCCAGCACGTAACAGGATTCTGCCGAACAGAGGATTGTCTGCTTGGAAACCTTTGTGCCATGCTATCTTGGCACTGCACTGACCACTTGGGCCCTTCCCTGGGAAAATTGTTCAAGTGCAGGAACAGCTTGCTTCAAGACAGAAGGAAATGGCTGCAGCTTATTTGAGAAGATTCCTCCCTAGCCTGGTCCTCCCAGCATTGCCCTGGTAGGATGCCCAAGACAGTGCACAGGACCAACCTACACCTGCCCCTTCCCCCGCCACACACACACACACACATCATCATCATCATCATCATCATCATCATCATCATCATCCAACCCTAGATCAAAATGTCAGGAGTGCTAAGGATGGGAAACCCTGGTACTGGTGCACACATACCCCTTGTGCTTTCTGAGTTCTGAGTCCCCAGACTGCCTGAAAGGCCATGTATCTCAGTTTCATGCTGCAGAAGGAACTACAGTGAGGTCATAAGCCCACATCTGCATGCCCATGAGCCTGTCCACACTTCCTGTGGAGTTAAACTCAGTCCATTCCCACCCAATCTGTCCCTTTCAGCCTCCCCTAATATGTAGCGATACCTTACAAAGGGCAGTTCACTGTTGATCTCCCCAGCCTGAGGAGGTCTGCTCCTGGGCACACTGTCCTACCTGCCCAGCATTATCCCCAAAATCAGTTTTTCTCAGGGAAATGATGGGCATATTCCCTGGGACAGAGGGTTGATCTAAACCATTTATCCTTTCTCAGCATGAACTGTACCCGTTTACCAACCTCCAAGTCAAAGCTCCTGCTATCTGTGACTTATCATTCTTTCTGAGAGGGAAACTAATTTGGTCTCACAGGAAATTTTTTGTCA